TTGAATTCATTGGAAACATGTATATATTCTAGATTCCTTATAATAAATATGCGATCTAATTGTAAAGCTTAGCACTCTGTCTGTATGTAAATGGCAGTCTTTGCAGGCGACGTCGACACGGCGCGATAATTGCCCGGAGGTGCGCCGCGTACCATCGCGGTACGTATATTAAGCGTCTATAAACCAAAATACCTATATGCATAGGTACAAGATATTAAGATAATCTTATTTGAATATAAAAAATCGTGACATGTGACAGATATTGAGTATCGAACTTTCAAAGGATACAATGCGTACAGAGACTGTCTGTATTACTAACGGTATAGCCTACTTAGTAAATGATTCATGATGAAATCTTATTCGAAATATTATTTTGAGTCGATGTTGACGACGATATTAGTAACGAGACCAGTTGATTTCGTAATAAATAACATTTATTGAAACAACATAAATTAGTTGAATGACCAACCTCGTTACGACCCTCGGCATTCCTTAGCTTTCTTTTTACGCGATTAAGTATAGTATAATATATTAATATGGAACTAATAATGCAGTAAAATTATATCAAATATTATGGAATAACAAAATTATTAAAATTGGTTTAAAATTTACAAAGACACTACGTAATTCAAATAATACTAATGAATTAAGAACTTCCTTTTGTAAATCGAAGATAAAATTAGTACAAACAAATTTTCATTAGTAATAGATATTTAACATTCTTTTCTTTCGTTTAATTTCAGACTAATACTAGTTTTATGTACTTAGGCAATTTATAGATATGTATCTTCAAATTAGAATATTTTAGTTATTAATGGATACATTAATATTTATAATAATATTTATTTTATTAATAACACTTAGCATAGATAATATTTTTTTATTTAAGTCCCTCTGTGTAAAAGTTGCGAAAACAGAATCTGTAAATCTATATTAAATATACTACAAGACATAAAATAATGTTGATTTTTTTCTTATGAACGGAAACTGATTTGAATATTTAAAACAATTGTATGTGTGAACATTGATTTCTTGAATAAATAGACGACTATTAAAATTTATTAATATTAGGTCCTTACATATGAAATTGGCGTCTTGTACGGGAGGAATTCCTTTTTCCTTTCATTTTCATATGTAAGGACCTGATATTAATAAATTTTAATAAAGTGTTTTTTATTTATAAAATATATATAATTAATCAAAGTATGCGCCGTTGTTATCTATGCACTTTTGCCATCTCATAGGTAGTTCATTGATCCCTTTACTAAAAAAACCATAGGGGCAAGAATCATTAAACTCTTTGAAGGCGGTTTGGACTGCATCTGCATAGGAGTTGAATTTTAGTTTTTTTTTTAAATAAAAATCGTTTTGGTCCGGGGATTACGGTGGATGTCGCAGACATTCCAATTGTAGCTCATCTAACTTAGTGGTTTTTTGTTCTGCAGTGTGTGGTCTTGTGTTGTCGTGAAGCCGCAGTGGGCTAGAGCGATTGACCAATCTCGGTTGTTTAGCAGCTAGTTCTTCCTTCATGGTTTGCAGTTGCTGATAATAGATATCTGCCGTAATCGTTTGGCCAGATTTTAGTAAGCTGTAGTGAATGACACCGACGCTAGTCCACCAAACACTTACAAGCAACTTTTTCTGAGTCAATTTTCGTTTAATTCAATATTTGGCTGGGTCTCCAGGATACAGTTATTGCGACAAGCGTTTCCGATTATCGTACAGTATCCACTTTTCATCACAAGTAATGATTTGATTTAAAATTCCTTCATTATTGTGTCGGTTGAGCAAAGTAACACAGCAGTCGATGCGTGTTTGCAAGTTCGATTCACTCAATTCATGAGTTTAAGTTTTTTCACTTTTTCGATTTGCTTCATGTGGATTAATACAGATTTCTCACTCACCCCGAAGCTTACAGCTATTTCTGAAGTGCTTTGTGATGGATCCGCTTCCATAATATTTTTTATATTTTTTTATACCACTGAGGTGGCAAACAAGCATACGGCCCACCTAATGGTAAGTGGTTACCGTAGCCTATGAACACCTGAAATAACTGAGGCATTACGCGCGCGTTGCCGACCTTGAAGAAACCTTTATACCCCCCTTTTGAAGAACCCCATGCTGTAGGCTCTTGGAAAAATCTTGGCAGGGAGCTTATTCCAAGCCTTTAATTCTTCATTTTCCACTTTGGTCTTCGGCCGTCCACAGGGTTAGTTCTGAAGGTCGAAATTTCCAGAACGAAAACGTTGAAACCAAAAACGTACCATACTTTCTTTTGCGACACCAGCGCCGTACACATTATTAATCATTCGAGCTGTTTCTGCAGCACTGGTGTCATGGTAGAACTCGTACTCGTAAATATACCGATATTTCATGTCTTCCATTGTGCGGTAATAAGCGACGCGGAAAAAATAATAAGAAAAAAAACAAATGAATAACTGTTTTCAAAACTCAAATGTACCAGCTAAATGAATTTATAAATTTGAATTTCGAATTTTTACCAAAAAGGAGATATTTCAAGTCAAAGTGGTCAGTACGACAAAACGCTAATTTCATATGTAAGGACCTAATATTTGTCCGCAATAATGTTATTATTTTACAATAATAATATATACTTGTATTAATTAATTAATTAATACAATCATAATATACAAATAGGTATAGTAAATCTTAATCTTAACAAGATATTAAATAAATAATGTCAAAATTAAATTAAGGAACTAGTAATAAAAATAAATGATATTATTTAAGCAAGAAAAAAATTTTATTAACTAGATTAATAATAAATAATTAATATTTATTTTATCTTACAATATTTATAAACAATTTAAAACTTTAATTCTTCTTTCACATAAATTTACATTTTAAATGAAAATATAGTTTTTATTAGAAACTGGTATCAAATATAGACATACGAGTAGAGGAGCATTGTTTATATTTCCATTTGCATACACGGTTATAACGGTTCCGTTGAATCAGTTAAGTGACAAAAGTAAGGACATTGCGAGCCTTTGTTGCATTCACTAGATATGAGAACTCGTCACGTTGCTGTTTTATATAAATAAATATATATAATAGCTTTAGCTTTAAGGCCATTTGTTTAATTTTATTGGAAATGGTTTGAAGATCGACAGCGATTTCATACCTGTCTACTGATGATCAGTGTGCGTGTCTCATCCATGTACTTACTCGATATTTTAGGTCAGGGGCATAGTGAAACTATGTGGTATTCAACAAGTGACGCAAATCGATGTTACGCCTGTGTTATAAATCGAATATGTAAATAAATTATTCGATTTTGCTTGAATCGTCACATGGTGTGGTAATTAAAATTTTTATAGCTCATTTCTTATAAGGCGCACGTCATTAAGATCATAAGCGTTGATTAATTCGACACGAATCCCGTCAAGACAATTTCCGATTTGTGAACTGGTTAAAGTATACTTTCGCTTTTGCTTCACCTCATTATGGTTACTTTTTTATTTTTAATTACAGTTAAGCTAATGCCAGTTGGTAATATAATCAGTTGAGATCACAAAATGCGTCGGGAGACTGTTTATCAATATCTTTTGCTTGTTATCTGCTTGATATTGACATTGTATTCGAAAGTTGTCTTTTGCAAAAACATACATAACAACTAGTACCACTATGAAGTTGTGTTTACAAGTATTTTATTATACATATTTGCTAACATAAACATTTACACCAGTAGTAGACTTATATCCATATTCTTTAATTCTTTGGAGTTGCAGTTATAGCGACACGGTTCAATCAAACTGATTCACTCTGGTTGAAAGGAATAGAAGTGAAAAATAATAATATTTAAAAATTGCATTGAAAGGTTAATAAGTTGACATTATTCAATATGGTTTGCTTCACAGTTCTACATGGTTCACTATGCAGTATACAATGCAATTTAAGTATTTTTTTCGTAGGTAACTACATGAAGATTGTTTACTCTCAGATTATTCACAGATTTTAAAATGCAAAAAATACAAAAAAAAAAAAAACATAATAATAATCATCAATTCATACTATTTGTAAAAACATCGCATCCATTTTAACTTGAATTTTTTCATTCTGTGAAGAAATTGCAGTGTGTGCAAATAATTTTTACAACTTTGCCTTTTTCCTTATTTACAACAATATAATAGTTTCTGAGAAACGGCCGTGGCATATAATCAGATGGACTGAAGTCTTAAATCTATGATTTTTTTTTAAATATAAGCACTTTAAAACAGTGTTAAATATTTGCTCTTAAAATTGCTAGTAGCTTTATGTTCGCCAATATTGGCCGTCAATTATTTTTTTAACAAGGTTATTTATATATTTACAAATCTACTAAAGATCATAAGGAAGCTTCGTCAAATAGATAATTGGTATAATATGTATATTAAATTATAAAAATATTAACTTTAATATAAGTACCTTTAATTCGTCATCGTATCCAATAGTACCTACTTATATTGAAATTGCAAATGGCCGGTGTATATTACATAAAGAATATTTAAGAGGTATTGATATTTTTTATGTACACATTAAGGCTTAACATATTATTATTTCTTAACTTATTATTAGGTTACTAACTTATACTAGCTTTTTTCCCGCTACTTCGTACGCGTGTATTTCAAAAGTAGGAAAACTAATTACTTCTTGATGGCGTATTAAGATGGAGCATACACCATGTCTTTAGATAATTATTATGTATTATCTAAACGTTATCATATTGTTAGTAGCTTACAAACTTTCTCGAAATGTCTGTGAAATTATGAATATGGAGAATAAGAGAAGATCTTTCTTCAATTGACAAAAAAGTTTTATTAATACGTGCAATAGAAACGGGAGAAACGATAAGTAATTTTAGGGTTTAATGGTATTTTTTAATAAGAAATTTGTATATAGGACTACTTTTATTAGCTAGAGAATTATATAGATAGGACTGAATCTATTAATTAATAAAAATCAGATTTGTTCATTGATATGTATAATTCTTGTTACAGATTTGGTGCCGGCGCGCTTCAATGTGGCCATAATGATGTTTTTCGCGACCTGGGTCAACTATATGATGAGAGTGAACATGAGTGTCAATATAATAGCTATGGTGCCAGATGAATCCAACATAACATCGTTAGTATGTTTTATTGTACCATCAATAATGAACAATATTGAATAAGAAACATTGATAAATAACCACAAAAAAACTCAAGCGCAATGCGCGAAATAAAATAGAACGCCACGAAAAATATTTCATACACGAAAGAAAGGTAATTAATTATATACCTTGAATAATTTATTCCAATACAAGAATACGAATGACGCTGTAATATTTTTATTAATGATCTAATATTACTTACTCATAAAAATATTTATATTTTCATTATGAATACTAAATGCATATTAAATGTAGAGAAATAGAAATTGGAACAGGTTTATGTATACATCATTGATCCGTAACTATAACTCTTTAATGTAAATTCATTGTAATAATAATGAACATACAAATATGTGTTTAAGAAAAGGAATATTTGCGTTAAATATGTGTTTATCTAAATAAGGACTAAACTATTTTCGTTTAATGCTAAAAAACTTGTTAGGAACATTATAATAGCAAACACATATTTTTCAAGGAATAAGGACTACTTGTAATCTAAAGGCTAGCTTTTTTTACAACGAAGAGGTGATGAAATTATGAGTGTTATATACTGGAAGTACAGGTAAAATTTTATTACATATAGGAATGCAGCCGAATGTAGGGGTTCACGTCGCGATCAGATTTTCCTATCGGACACGTTCATTCATTCGAATCGCAACATTCGCTAAGCCTATTGATCTGCGAACTGTGTCTAATTTTCCCAATGAAATTGTGATATCGCCTCATACATTCGCAATACTATAGAATAAATACAGGTCAATCGATACTTATTTTTTTAGAAAGCGTTGGAGTTTGGTGGTTTACCATCCCAAGACATATGACTGGAGTACAAATCTGACCTAAACGAGAACTTGGCATAAATATTCGTATTACATTTAAATTTCTGTATTTCTAACTTATCTGACTAAATTTTTTGGTTAAATCGATTACTAAAATTCGAATCGGTTTATCCTTTAATATTAATCGTCAGAGAGCTAGAGAAAGAAACTTCTCGGGATTTGTCCTGAAATATTAAAAGTTGCTGTGCTTAGAGTTTCCTTGTGTGATAGAAGATACTTGTAATCTGAAACGAAAGTTATATGCGCAATAATCAGTTTAGCTCAGGGGCAGTCAGTTGAAGCAGCATTAGACCGGAAACATAGAGATCCGATAACCGTTGGAGAAGAATGGTTCTCGATGTAGCAACATGATACAGAATTAAGTAGTAAAAGGCTGCACCATAGGCGAGGCGACTCTAAAAATATAGTTAGTTGAAGGATATAAGTAATCTATAAACAAAGCCTGACCAAATAGGATCAATGGTGGCTGAAGTGGAATAAAATGTTTATAACGAATCTGATTAATTTTATTATTATTTGCTTTATTTAACAAAGTACCACCTATTATAGTAGAAAGAGTATACCGTACTGGAATATTATTGCCAAGTATTTAGCCATTAATGAATATTTAGAATGCCATACTATTCTTGATCTATGATTATAGTAAACGTGGATGATCTAGAATTTTTTATCATCAGGCCATAAACTTTTTATTACATATAAAATGGTTTTTTCTACCTTTATCCTTGAAGTTGGAGAATTAAGACTGGTTTGAAGATGAGATTATTTTGACTTCGGCTGATTTAAAGTATATATATGAATATATATAAATTTTTAGTGCATCGAAACCAGCTCATCAAATAAAAGTACCAGATAAAAACAGAAATAGAAGTAGATTTAAAAAATCGATTAGAAAACTCTTGACAAACTTAATTTTGCAGCTGAAATATATGACGTCGAGAATTAAAGATTGGTGAAAGTAGAACGTATAATAAATACAAAGCACGAAAATCTTCATATATGTATTTTTATTAATAAATATTTTCCATTATGTATAAGTACATCAAAATTACAATAACTAATATCAACTTTACAAGTCCAATTATAATTTCTGGATTTTCTGTCCTAATGGGAGACAGACGACACATATATATATGTAAACCCATTTAATTATATGGATATGGCGTAAAACCGGTAAAACTATAGTCCTTAGGAATAGCAACGAATGAGAGGCACCGTGAGCGAATGTATTTTGTGATGTACATAATGCTATTCATCTTTATATGTGACGGTTAATTCGTCAATATTTTTGGTCTTTAATTTAAATTAGTCAACTTGGAATTACAACTGAGGGAAAGAGGTAACCGTCGCTTGTAGATATGAAGAGCATCAGAAAGTATACTCGTAATAACTATCAGCTGTGTAATTATCTGACAATTAAGGTGTTGTAGGTATAGGCCTCCACAGGTAACTTCTTATTTCACAACCATCCATCAAATCGAAATACAAGTAAGTAAGCACAGTTGCTTGGTATGAATACACTCAATGAATGTGATGGAGAGATACTTTTGTACAAACTCTTTCATCAGTATGGAACTTTAAACGTGAACTCATTGATTACCGTGCAGTGTAAATTTTATAAGAAAGACATTTTTTAAAGAAGGTAAAAGTAGTTGTTTATATTGGGACAATTGAGTTTTATATACGAGTAGTTTGCAAGCTTACGAAAGTGATTTCAATAAAACTTAAACAGCTGAATATACATAGTTGTATTACACTTGTATATTTTATTTCATTATAGTATCAATCTTATAATAGAGCAATAATTACTATTTTAAATTGCAATTACAATAAACGTAAATTCGAGATTTAAATAGAATTAGAAGAAAATCCTACAGCGTTTGTCTTGCGGGGTCATTTTCTTCAAATTCCTTAGAAACTGAATGCCAAATTTTTTACGGCATAAACCATGTCGTTTATGTACATGTAAATACAAACAACATAAACCATGTTGTTTATATTTATAATAAGTTTGCTATTGTAATCTTATGGAAAAAAATCTATCGTAAAGAGTATTTATCTCTTTATCTATCTAAATTAAAAAAATTTCAATATAATGTTTTTGTAGCGTTTTGTTATGATCAAAGTTACTGTTTTATTAAAACAGACTATAGTTTTAAATAGCAGTATTTAAATACCCATTTTATCTTAATGCATTTTAAATTTAGGTATGGTAATATATACGAAAAATGCTCCCATTATCAGTATTCGAATTTAAAGTATTTATATGCGCAACGCTGTTTCATTTATCTATTCACAGGGTGAAAACAGAATGCGAGGCCATTGCGACTGACGACGATTCATTGTATAACTCAACTGTGGTTATAGTGACGAAGCGTGTACTACGGCAGGTAATAATTTGCTAACAACAATGCTAATCCTACCTTTGACATGTTATTTTGTAGTACTTTATAGTATTACTATAAAAAATTTACTAGCAGTAAACAGTTATACTGCAAATAGTAGTTTTTATGTTACTAGGACTTATCCTAGTAACATAAAAACTGCTATTTGTATATAAACAAGTTCACGGCCTATCTGATGGATGATAGGTATTTAACTATCGACTACCATCCGAGGCATGACATTGGCTTTACAAATTTTTTTGTGCTACTTATGACACCTTTCATTAATTGCCACTCTAGAAGAATATGGTGGAGGCTTATTCTATACGAGTAGACACTACGGATTCTTGAATTCTCAAATTTAAGAATGGATTTTATGAGAACATTACATATTATTTAACACCACCTTTTTTATACAATTAAGAATGACAAACAAGCTGACGACCCATCTGATGGAAAATGGTAAGCGTCGCCTATAGACATGAGCAGTACTATGGACATAACAGAGTATACTGTTTCGTATATACCTCATGCGTTGCTATTCCTGAGGACTCAGGTGTTATTTTTCTATACCCTTTAAATTCTTTGCTATATACCACTCTTCAAACCGAAATACAGCCAATCAAACACAACTGCTTCACGGTAGAAACACGAATGGGACAGAGGTGCCCAAGCAAACAACTTTTGTATAAAGTCTCCCTCTGGTCATCATCACTTGCATAATATTCCTTTCCTATTATTTTATAGGAAATAAGTTGTTATGTTGTTAGTAATTTCACTTGTTGGATCTCTTCAATAAAATCATAGCTACATTATATGTGCCATATTTTTATATGTATAATAAATATATATAATAAATAATACGGTATTAGGTGCGTATGGTAATGTACATAAAAATCTACCAATTTTTATCAACCGTGACTTCTAGTAGTGCTACTACAAGTCACGGTTTACGATCAAGTTTTTAAATAATAAACATGAATATATCTAGTATCTACCAAAGCGGATGATTTTTGTAGTTTGATATTTTTTAATTATTGCTTCCAGCCAGACGGTGTGGTGACTTTTGACTGGACGGCGCAACAGCAAGCCTATGTCATATCTGGGTACTTTTGGGGTTACGCCATCACGTGTTTGGTGGGCGGCACGGCGGCGGAACTATGGGGCCCGAGAAAGATTATTTTCGTCACCATGTTAATCAGCGCAATCCTCACTATATTGTCTCCTCCGGCTGCTAAGTTACATTATTTGGTCTTAGTTGCACTAAGGTTCATCATTGGACTTGCGTCTGTGAGTATTACAAATATGATATAAATTTAATGTTTTTTCAAACAATTTTCATAAGGACGCGATTTTCAATTCGTCTGTATTTTTGTAACAAATGTTACATTTATATCGCCAAATATAAACTGATTTTAATAATAGTGATATTTGAAGCTGCTATTTTTTATTATTTGACTTGCTTTCATCTGCAACTTCGAATAACCTATTTCCTTCTGTATTTCATATAATATATATATACCAAATTTCATGACGATTGGTGGAACCATTAAGGCGGTAAGAGATAACAAACAAACAGATTAATTTTCACGTTTATAACAATAGTAAAAATTAGTTACAAAATCTGCCTGTAGATTTTTAACCTAATTTAAAATAATAATAAAATGCTAATTGAATTCAAAACGTAGAATCGAGTGTCTACAGGGAAATTTGTTTTATAAAAAATATTGTTATTCATTAGTGAATTTTGTTACGATTTTTATTTGCAGAGGTAAATGTATTTATAAATAAAACGAATATCATACAACGACAATACAAAATATGTTATTTATCAGGGGTGACATCAGATACCTCTCACACTTGTCAATTTTTGAGATCTAAGAATTTTTAGCTCATCGGAGATGTCTTATTTTTTGTTCAAAAATACAATTACAAGAATTTAGGAATAGCTGATTTATAATATATATAAGACGATGGTACTTGATCAAACAAGTTTTATGTACTGTGGACGCAAAACAGTTTTAGAATTACGCGACCCAGCTCATTAAAATTACTGAATGCTAAATTATATGCAATAGGTGTATCTACTTATGAAAAATAACAAATATTACTATATATATTATTATAGATACCATTTTGATTTTTTTTAAATATATATGTAATAACATGCAAATAAAAATTTTAGGATTGTTACACATTTGAATTTGAAAAACATCTTTTAAATGAAATGTAACTTAATTAGGTAACAAGACATTATAGAGAAACGAAACTAATCCAAATCAACTTAATATTACATTAACAATTAATGTTGACAACATTAGGCACAGGGTGAGAAGGAATTTATAGTAATGGAGCCTAACAATCCCATTGCTAACAATATAACTATCAGGTCGATGTTTACGTGGTTTCACATGGAAACTATTGTGATTGATTTATCGTTGAATTTGTCACGACAGGCCAACTGATCTGCTTTATTCCTACTTGTCATCTTTTACGGGTGCCTTGCCAATGTATACCGATAGCGCAGGTGGGGTTATTGTTCTACTATCATCTATTAAAAAAAACTATTGGCACATATTTTAGAACAGAATATACTATAACATAACTAAATAACAAAATCTTATTGCACACAATACTGTCACAGAAAGTATACAAAATTGAAATCTACAAGTTTTACGTTTATTGCATTGACAGATGACGTGATGACCTTATCTTATCGACCTTTGCCAACGTTCACTTTGCAGCTTTTATATTCTAATAATCAAGCATAAAATTACGGTAATAATATTTTAAACATTTTATTGCCCAATCTAATATATATATATATATATATATATATATATATATATATATATATATATATATATATATATTATAAAACATTTTTTTATTTTTTTGAAAATTTTTAATAGTACAAATAAAAAATATAAATACTCCATACCATATGCGTTTCCACTAAATATACATCGTGAATTACACTATAGGTAGTATTATGTTTGGTAGAGCGTTTTTACCTTGTTTCTCATACAGATATGTACATAAGTTATGTACATATTTGTATAAGATGATGCAGTGTGCAACAGTTAACTCCCATAAAACTGAAATGTTGCACACTATTACACGTATAGGATGCTCCAAGTCACTTAGAGAGTCATAGCTTACTCAGTGTAGTGTCACTTACTACTTATTGTTTCACTGCGTAATAATTCGGAACGTAGATATTCGTAGAACTAACCTATATAGTCTGGAGAATCTGCAAGCTAAAGTGGCAATACGCCGGTAAACAACAAAAAGTCGTCCAGCAAAAAAATATCGGAAAATTTGTTTACATATGGAAATTTTTGATGGAAACGGTTGTGGTGACATCTACGGAGTTAACGATAGAGCCTATCGACACTTGATTTACTCTTCCTGTCCCGTATAGAACCTGAGGTGTATATAAATAGATACAAAATATTTTTCTATAAGGTGTTATTTTTATCTCTAGGCTATTATTCCTTGAAATATTTGTATTAGAGTCACATAGGTAGATAGAGCACATTTCAACAACAATTTTTTATCAGTTATTTTTATGGAGTTTATTGACTTACTTATTGCTCTTATATGTCTATATACCACATTTTTTACATATTAATATATATACATAACTAGTTTTTACCAGGGATGTGGATCTGCGTGACCGAGATACATTAATTAACCAAGATAAAAAATAGCCTATGTCCTTCTCTATCTCAAAGACAATGTGTATACCAGATTCCATGACGATTAGTTGAACTCTAATGATGAGTTGATAAGGTGTTAAGAGGTAACAAACAAACTCATTTTCTCATCTGTAATATAAGGATTTTGATTCTTATAATATACAACTATCTCTCGAGTAGTTAGAAAAAAATAAAAGAAACTCAACTGTATTTAACAGTAAAATTTAATAACTTAATCATTGAAATTACCATCAGTACACAATATCCTTAAATAAATAGTTAGGAATATATGTGACTCAATAGTTATTTTGTTTTGAAAAGTTGTTGCATTACCATTTGTATATAATTGGATATAATTTCATATGTTGGTAATAACAAGATATTTAAAAAAAAGTTATAATACACTTAAACAGGTTTTATGTGCGAAAAAGTTTATTTTTTAAGAAAAAGAAAATGCAGGCTTCGTTTAAAGGCAAATTAAAATGTTGGCACAAAAAACGACTAAAGTTATTTAATATTTTATCTGACTGTCGAAGAAAGTTTATGTATAAGTATCTGATTTTTTTTAATGGATGATAATGGAACGGAAACCTCCCCTGCGTTATTGGTATACGCTAGCGGGCAACCAGTCAGTGATAATAGGTGAGGATGAAAGCAGATCAGTTGGTCTATACTGCTGAATTCAACAAGAATTAACCACGATAGTTTTCTGTGGGAAGCGCGTGGAAGTCGTCTTCTATCTAAAGGTTGTCTAATACAGATTATTTAGCGATAAAACCGCCTTTTACATTGATTAATTTACACTAATATGATTATTGCATTTTGTTCTAGGGTGTACTGTTTCCAGCATTACACGCTCTGGTAGCACATTGGGCCCCGCCAGCGGAAAAGGGAAAATTCGTAAGCGCCCTGCTCGGGGGCGCGATTGGGACAGTAGTCACATGGTCATTGTCTGGGCCCCTTATAGAGAATCTGGGATGGGATTACGCATTCTATGTACCAGGTAATATTAAATAAAATTTAAACTAATTAAAAATTGTATTCATATACCGACAAATGAATGGTTTATGAAAATTTTCTCTAATTGCGCTTGTTGCTTTATCTATTTGTGTGAATTTCACGTAAAAACAATTAGACTGCTTAATACGAAATTTTCACACTATATTAAGCTAAACATATGTACAGGCGGCTTTAAAAAATATTTTCCAAATACACCACTTTTAGTATATAATATATGCTTACAATCACACCAATCGCTAGGTCCTCAGTCTTGAATACCTTGTGTTATGAGGAATGAATATCTTGGGGCATATTTTTCTCATAATTATCTATTGTCAGGTAAAGAATTTAATATAGGCCTTGACACTAGATACCGTAAAAAATGAAGTGAAAAATGGTGTACGAAATTATTTGAGTTGGAATGTTACCATAGTATTAGGTATAATATACTACAAGCGAAGTCACGGGCATAGCTAGTGCCTAACTAATAAATACATCATGTAAATAAGATGTTCGCGTATTCATCGTGATATGCCACAGTATATTAGATTTAAATTTTATCTGATTGAGTACTATCTATCAGTATAGCACGTGAATGATTGCTCTTGATACGACGTATGTCAAATAAAATAAATTGATTAGGTTTACATATGTACCATGATCATCATTTCAGCCATTATTTGTTCTCTGCTGGACATAGACCGCCATAAGGAACGGTTCTCAGCCGTCTGGATCCACTGATTCCCTGTATATTGATTATAAAAAATATTAATTACCATATTCCATGTTTGTTAAAATGTAAAATAAATTGCTTAATAACATAGAAAAAAACATTATAGACTGATAAACAGGTTAACAGCTTATAATAAAGTAGTACTATTAAACTATTAGAATAATTAAGTAATTAATTTCTATAAAAATTAGTTAATTGCGTATGCAGATACTTTGGTCAGAAATAGTAAATTTGCGTTTTGTAATTGAATGTTTAAATTCAGAAATGTTTTCAATGCAGAACAAAATGTTCATGACACAATGGGGGTAGTAAACGCCAATTCTAATGTTTGTTACACAGTTTATTAATTGTAAGAAAACATGGATAATTATGCTAATATAAAATAAAACTTAAAATTTAATTGATTTATATGTACCTCAATAAAAATCAATTGCCAAATGAATAACTTCAGAACAGCTCCACTTATTTGGTTGCAGCAGCGTTTCTTTAAAAACATCTCTAAAGGCCTAACTGCGGTTGCCAACCCACCTGCCAAGCATAGCAACTACTGGCAAAACTCCCCTTATGGAGAAGGCTTATATCCAGCAGTGGACAGTTAACGGAAAAAATAAGTTGTATGGATAATGTTAATCGTAAAACTAGTAGCCCAAAGCTCGTCTGAACATTACTCGAAGTAGTTTTCAAAAGCCTTCTCATTAATATCTGTAACTGATTTAAGGTAAATAGTGACTTTACGTATGACGTTATCAAAGTCGTATCATTCTGAATCAACGAAATATCAATAACTTTGCGAATATGAGAGACATTATCGTCAATATTGATCATTCGGATGGCAATTGTTGACAGACACTTGTATAGTACGGGAAATATAACTTTTTTGATTGCATTTCAATCTCGTATCTAATCATATTGATTTGATACGTAACATACTGGTATACCAATGTCAATATTACAATCTTAAAAATACTAATATCATATCTAAGCTTGTTTGTTGGTATCTATTTATTTTTTACTACTCATGGTGAGTTAACTCGGTCATTATCACTTCAATCACAACTAAAATATATCATTTTAGACATTATTTGTTTACATTGATTGAATAGATATGGAGGTATATAGTTATCTAATTGTATTTGATTTTTCTATTTCTTTTAAAACTGGTTGTTAGAGAATGCTTTCAAGTACCTTGTAACCTGAGAATAGATACTACTTTTATATTGTATACGTATTGTATAAAACATTTTTTATACAATTAGAATGGCAAACAAGTTGACGGCCCGCCTGATGAAAAGTGGTAACCATCGCCTATAGACATGAGCAGTACCATAGACATAACAGAGTATATTGTTTGAAACTTGTAATTTATACCTAGGGCGGGCTATGGGAAGGGCTATGCTCGGAGTTTCTTTGCATAAAAGAATCCGAAATGAGGATATCCGCAAAAGATCCAAAGTATAATATATTATAATATTAAAGAATTAAATCATAATATGGCTAATTTTATATATCTGGTCAAATTTGATAGGTATTAAATTTGCCTTAGTACATAATATTTCGGATTTGTACAATTTCATCCGCTTGGTATTTTATTTTATTAATATTATAAATGCGAAAGTTTGTAAGGATGCATATAGAGACGTTTGTTACTCTTTCACGTAAAAACTACTCGACAGATTTAGCACATGACTTAGCACATAGTATACTTTACACATATACTGATTTATTACAGTGAGTACAAAATAAATTAAAACTTGATTCACCTTGAGCGGCTCTTTTCACCTTTTAAAACTGACAACATTGAAGTTTAAGCAAACGATGTGATATGAAATATTAATTGCGAATTAATTATTAGGTAATATCACATTAGACGATTTCTGTGGCGCAGTGATAGGTACATTGCTTTGCTCGAGTTTGATTCCCGGTTAGGTCAATTTCCGGAATAACGAAGACAATAAATGCGTATACTTTTTTGAATTGGCTCGAGTCTGAGTGTTCTGGATTTTACTTTGGTATTATTTATTTGGTTCCTTATAACATAGCTTCAGACCGTTGGTATAATTGTGTGATACTGTTGTATTATAAATTATTAAAGTTCATGTTCTTTACATCCCCGACATAAATTTAAAGAAATAGGTGTAAATAATGTAAAAATTTTCAAAATTTATTAATAATTATAATTTTCACTATTTTAGGAGCAATTACTGCAGTTTGGTGTTTTATATGGTGGTTTTTGGTGTACGATACGCCGATACAGCATCCTCGCATATCCGATAATGAGAAGAAGTACATCTTGGACGCTATTGGCGACAAAGTTAATCACAGTTCAAAAGATACCAAGGTTGGTGTTTTTAGTTTATCATTAAATTAGTTTATTTCAATTTAATTACCAAGGCATCGCCTGTGCGAATCCTTTGTCACTTGTGGAACTTTTCGGGCATCCTTTATTATTGGATGCCTATATTATAAATGGAACACATATCTATAATCATCATCATCATATCAGCCATTGACTGTCCACTGCTGAATATAGGCGTCCCTATATTGGGGGATTTTGCCCGTAGTTGCCACGATTGACAGGTGGGTTGCAGTCGCAGTTAGGTTTGGTGATGTTTTAAGAGGGACGCTGCTGCCCATGACTTGACTATTAAGTTTCCTTAGTCTTTTCTTACTACACTCACGAAAAAGGAAGGGGTGGCTCGTTACATTCCGGGACTACACGGCAATATATCCATAATAATATTTAGAGAAAAGATTTGATTGTTTGTTTGTACTGGATAAACCCAAAAACTACTCAGCCGATTTCAAAAATTCTTTCACCCATACAGAACTACATTATTACCGATTAACGGTGTAATATATTAGTAATATATTAATAAAAAAAATAGAGATTTGTACAAAATTTGTAAAAATGTAACCTAATGTATCAGAAATTTACCTATTAAAGATAACATGACTTATCTTTCTATCTACCCGTGCGAAGTCGGGACGGATTGCTAGTATTTAATATTTCTAAACAAAATGGTTGAGAAAATAATTACTTAATGGTGCTTAGTATTTTTACTGTCTCATATCTTAAACTTTTTTTGTCTATGGGTAGCTATTATATATTTTTTACTATTTTATTTTTAACTGTTACTTTGTATTAAAATTAGAATGATTTATGAACGTAAAGCCTATTTTTAATATTACCAGAGAATTTGCTTCGTAAATAAACAGTGACATTAATCGAGCAAAATGAATATGAAGCCAAGTAATGAAGCATAGCATTTACTCCCGTGAAAATGTTTTGTTTTGTCGAACAAAATAGGTATAGATATAGGATGGAATTGCAATTATTAATTAGTCTTTAAGAGCGTGTACTCTACCAGTGAAACTCAACATTTTTAAAGGAATATGGGTTGTAAATGACAAATAATTTTGAACCTTATTATTTTATGCAACTTAGAATGGTAAACAAGCCCACCTATAGACAACATGAGCAGTACCATGGACATAACAGAGTATACTATTTCGCCCATGATACCCCCCATGCGTTGGTATTCTTGAGGATTAAGATATTATGCCTCTGTACCCTGTATATTCACTGTCATATCTCACACATCAAACTGAAACACGGCCATGCAAACAACTTTTAAACAAAGTCTCCCTTCCACACTACACTTCGATTTCACCCTGTATATTAGGTATTCCATATCTAAAAAGAGGATTTGACGTATCTTACTTCATTATCAATCTTTTGAAATAGGTCGTCCCACCATTCCGAAGAATCTTCACTTCCTTCCCGTTTTTGGCCATGGTGATACTCCACTATGGCAGTAACTGGGGTCTATATTTTGTGATGACTGCGGCCCCCAAGTTCGTGTCCAGTGCGTTGGGCTTCAACCTCACTGCTACTGGAACTCTATCATCATTACCATATCTGGCTAGGATGTTATTCTCACTAATATTTGGTGCAATTGGTGACAGGTATGTAAATATTTTTATTTAATTATTGTTACTTTTATTATTTTTATTATTTATTTTCTTTGTGGTATTGTGACTACTATCTGAACAAACATGAGTAAAAGAAACTAAGTTTCAATGCATATTATTTTGAAATCTCCGTACCTAAATTATCGATTTTTTAAATATTATCAGCAGTATCATTGAAAAAGTAGATCTTGGTTACTCAAATTTAAGCGGGAAGTAGATTAAGTTTAATTTTTAAAGATATTAGGCATGTCTGTAGTTTAAAAGTGTATTAAATTCATGTAAAATTCCTTTTATGAGTATAATATTATAAATAATTTAATATTTTGATTTCTTGATGTAATTGTGACGTAAATCCTCAATACTTTATTTATCTATAGCGTTTTATTTTTATTATAATAATTAATATTATTGTAAAACCTACTGTTTTATTTAAAGTAAAAATATCTCAGGTTTAGCGTAATTAAACATACTCGCACTCTCATTTCGAGTTTCTAATTTGCCTTAACTTTTTCTTTTGTATTTTTTTAGAAAATACCTAGGCAAATATGTAATGTATCTATTTGTATTTATTTACAGAATTCTGAAACAGAATATAGTATCAATAACGTTTATGAGGAAATTCTTCTGCTTGTTCTCCCACATTGTCCCCGGATTGCTTTTAATCGGCCTCGGGTATACTGGATGTGCTCCAATCCTCTCAGTGGCTCTCATCACTTTCTCCATGGGCTCAAACGGTGCAGCCACACTGACTAACTTAGTGAATCACCAAGACTTGGCCCCTAACTTTGCTGGCACATTGTACGGAATTGCTAACGGCATTGGCAATACCGCGGGTTTTGTTACACCACTGGTTACAGCATATTTTACAAAGAATGGGGTAAGTTTCTTGAAAATAGTACCTAAATTATATCAACTAATGCATCTAACCATGTTTTGATATAAATATAATTACCCATAATTGCTTTGTAAATAATTTATACAATTTATATAAATTAAAAAAAAATATTCATATTTAAAATTTGTATATTTACGACTTTATGTTTGGGGGATGTTATTAAACTTTTAGCTATGTTTTTTTTGTATAACAGATTTATTCCAAAGAATTGTTTGTTGTAATGTCTATGGCTAGGAACAGCCTACTGCCGCATCGCCTGTCATCAACAGGGAATACATCCCCAGTCTGCAGGTCCGCACACTTTGAAACTGTCATGTAGTTATAGATTACTATTTTCTTCCGTGAACGCTCTGGTTGTAGACGTAAAATCAGCTCTCTACAAAGATTTTTCCATACAGCATATTTCTTCAAAAACGGAATTTATTCTGAAAATTTAAAGAATATTATTTTCTACCTATTTTCAGAACGGTTTTGCTGAATGGAGGCCTGTGTTCATGACAGGTGCCTCCCTGTACATCGGTGCAGCTGTCTACTTTATACTTTTTGGTACTGGTGAAACGCAGTCTTGGAATTACATTGCACCTGTTGAGGAAGAAGATAAGAGACCGAGTAATAACTCCAATGATACGACAGTCACGATTCCTGTTAAGACGTAGATAAACTTAATTGTTGTAGTTTAATATATTTACTTTAAATTATATGTGATTGTATCACATGGATTGCATTAATGCCAAAAGATACGTCACTTTACAGTACACGTGAAAATAATTATTAAAAATGACTGCTAATTTGAAATAATTTTGTTTCAACCTATTTGACTATTGATACCTACTGAGGTTTATATTAAATTAACAATTGGTACAAAATATAAACTAAATCATTAAAGCTCCTTCAAAAAAGAATCAATATCAAATAAAAAATCGACAGCATTACCACGTTACGTACTTAGCTAATTATAATTATTGAGTAAAAGACATATTTTGTAATTTCTTTAGAATTAGTATGACAATTCGACTACATTATTAGTATTATTGAATATTTAGTACTTATAGTATACCAGTATGATCCTATCTTAATAATTGTGGTGAAAACGTGCATAATGAAAAATGGTAAACTACTATGGCATTTTTTTAATAAATTGAAACGATAAATAGATCTATCCTATTAGTTAATGATTAGACATGATGTAAATTTATTTTTTTATATTAACACTGAGTATAGTCTGTTTACCATATTATGTACACAGTTAGTGGTACAGACAAATGTACAGGTACAGGTATGTACAGGTATTGTACTGTAACTGTAAGGTGAATATTATATTTAATTAAATTCACACGATATTAATATTTGATAATTTGCTATTGACTACTTAATACATAATAATTCTAAAAGATCTGTTGAGTTAGATACAGTATTCTTGAATATCGGTTTCATAATATATAGGCTCTTACTTGTAAATACTATAAAACTTATTTATGTTACAATTGTATTTTTATAGAACAGACAAAACGATTGTGATGTCCGTTTAAAGTATTCAAAATATCTTAACGATTAATGTATTGAAGACTGTGATGAATTATAATTGTGCACATACATTAATTTAAATAAAGTAACTTATACGAGTTCGAATATGTTTTTACTAAAATAGTTATGGCCGCATCCAGTTACATTTTATCTTAATATATTATCATCAATTCTATGTCATATCGGATGTTAATCTTTTTACCGATTTTAATATAACTTTGCCTATTATTGTTTTCAACTTGAAGATAAATTATTTTCTATCACTATAAGAATAAATACATATGATAAATGGCAATAGGGGGCAAAACGTCATGTCCCATGTCAGATAACTTATTTATTTAAATTTTAATGCACACAGTGGGATATGGCGTTAATTTACAGGGTACGGAGGAATAACACCTGAGTCCTCAGGAATGGCAACCTATGGGGGGTATCATGGGCGAAACAGTATACTCTGTTATGTCCATGGTACTGCTCATGTCTATAGGCCACGGTTACCACTTTCCATCAGGTGGACCGTCAGATTGTTTGCCATTATAAGTTGTATAAAAAAAAATACATATATGTACATTTTGCGGACTTAATACCAGATGGTGTAAATAGGTAGGTGGTGCACTCAATAATTAATAAATAAACTAATTTTAACTTATTTAAACATTATAAACATATAAATACACTAATATAAACATACAGAAAATATTATTCATTTTTACTTTCGCATTGCGTGGTTATACGAGTACATTATAACATTTTTATATAGGCAAGCCATTCAAATGGCCGTGTGGTCCCGGCAAGAATAGACCACCCCTTTCTTTCCCGTGAATGTTATAATGGGCGACTAAGGGTGGCTTAATAAAAAACCAATTGGCTATATTGTTCTTTTTTTATTAGGATAAAAATAAAACGATAACTGCGCCTGCTCTATAGGCATATGCTGGGCAGTGAGTGATGATAGGCAAAGATGAAGACAAGTCAAATTAACCCATAGTTACAAATTTATCAGAAATGTTTCGATCTAATTATATGTAAGATAAACCGGTAATTATTATATAAAAATGTATGATGATGGTTTTCAGGGGGTTGTGCGCTTAGGTCGACTTAACAGAGTAGATTACTGACGATGGGGCTTTTAGTCACTATTACTAACAATCGTACTTCGGGGGGAAAGGGATTGTCAGTAATGAGATTTAACAGCCCGATTGCTAGCAATACACCCTATCAGGTCACCCTCCACGCGGTTCTCCTTGGAAACCATAGTGGTTAATTCTTGTTCAATTGGTCACTATGGGCCAACTGACCTGCCTTCATCCTCACCTGTCACCCTTCACTGGTACCCCGCCAGCGTATACCAATAGCGCAGGCAGGGCTACCATTTCATCTTCACTCATTAAAAAAAAAAACAATCGTGCTCCCTCCTCACTATACCTATTGTTAAAAAGCTATCATAATTTTTAATTTTAATAACCAATTCATTATTACTAAAATTCACGTTTACTAGTCTTTTAACCCTTTCAGACCTGAATGATACGGGCGTGAGTTGTAACTTTAAAAAATTCTAAAACCGCGCGCAATTCATTTTTACGCACGAAGCTGAAATAAGATGATAGTGAGATTCTAAACCAGCCAATAAGAAATCATTTTAGCGGTTAGGTGGTGCAGTAATCTCGTGCATGCCGGGAAGATGGCTTGGCTCCAAAACACGAAAATATATTTAAGCTGAAAGAAAAAAAATCTTGGGTCTGAAAGGGATATATTGGAGATAAGGACTCCAACACTTAATCTTTCTTAAATAGAATATAAGGTGTTTATATATTATTAAAAAAAAAAAAAACTTCAACTGTGTCATTACAAGTTATTTAATATATTTAATTTTTAGTATATTTAGATAGGTATATTATCATACATTATATACACGGGTACACTCTCATTTAATTTTTTAATCAATATAGCCTTACAACGAATAAATGACACAAGAAATTCAAATTTTAGAATACACAAATAGGTACGTTAATACAATCGTAATTAAAATATAAAGATATTCAGCAAACATTATGACAAACCACTTAGGAAGAAATATTAAAATTTCTAATTGAAACATACATTATTATTAAACATGAAACTATTCTTATTTCTTTGGAATTACATCACCAAAACAACTCAGGTTATGGTCACATACATAAAATTTCAGGCGGGATTCACAAGACATCTTACAATACAGTTTATGCTCAAAACATGTCGTCACATTGTAAAACAATAAAACAAATAAAATGAATGAATTAGACTACAAGTGATGAGCAAGTGAAATCTACTAATATTCCTAAAGCATGCATTTGATCTTAATAATTTATTCCTCCTAGGTTTTACCCACTGGTATTATATTGCATTAATCACTTTAGCCATTTATAAAGATTTCTTGTGCTTTAGTAACGTTAGACGTATGATTCAGATTCCGTGTCAGACTCTGAACAATCCAAAGCTAAAACGTTTTGATCGATTTTATCAGAGCCATTGTATAAACGTGGTACCGACTTAGACCGAAGTGCTTTTTCGTCTTTATTCACATGTACCGGTTGGAATTTCTTCAGCACTCTCTGGTATACCATTTTTCTAGGTGGCACCGGTGGTGGCATATGTGGCGGCTTCTTGTTGTTGGTTTGTTCTTTCTCTGAGTTATGATATTCAGGTTGAACAGCCGTAGGAGTAGCTTTATAGATATCTGAAGTAAACATGTTAGATGATTTATCTTCGTGGAATATGTCCCTTCTGCGATTGTATACAGATGTGTACAAAGGTTCAATATACTGAGTGGTATAACAATTTTCAAAGGAATTCTCGCTGGCCGGTGATTCTGTCGATCGGCTGTTGAAAGAATTTTGAGGTTGATATAATGTATCGCAACTGCTGGAATCGCTGTGCAGTACGATGTTCGCTAATGATTTTGATTGATTCAATTTATTATTCGTATAATTACGATGTCTTATCTTTTTATTTTCTTCAGAATTGTTGCTATGAATACTGTCGACATAAGAATATGAATTTTGCAGTGGATTCATTGCATGTTTATCATATTCTCTATTATTTATTGACGACTGCGATGTGCCACAAGTCTTAGTGCACATATGTGCCGGGTCAAAACGCCTCTTTCGGCAACAGTTCGTAATGTTTACTTCATAATTTCCATTGCGAACTCTTTCTGTATTATTAGTTTGTCCTTCTTCGTTCACTTCTAAACTCTTTGTTCTAGCTGCTTGACGAGACCAGTCATTTCTTGTAAAAATGGTGGCTGCCGGTGTTCCATTTCCACTGGATTTATTCTGAGAAGTTTCTCCTTGTTTCTTAGTCATTTGTCCATAAATATCCATTGTATTTGCTGTGTTACTATTATAGTTCGCACTTTTGTGCTCCCAACCAGAATAAACTCGAGAGTAATTTATATTTGAGTTTGATATGTTTGATTGATATTGATTCTGTCTTTGAATGTTTTCTGTGAACATAGCAAGGTCGTGTATATTACTGTATACTATATTTTCTTGACTAGAAACTAGGTCGCGTTTATTATCCATCGATTCTTGTTTTGTTTCTAACAGGTTATCAGAACTTTTTGCTCTGTTAAAATTTTTATTAGACGCATTTTTCTCCACTTCTTGAGTTTCGGCGAACATACTATAAACTTTAGACGTTCGAGCTGACTTTGATAAACTTCTCGGTGGTTTCTGTGGTTCTAAACCTGTTATGTATTTTGCTGGACTTTGGCCATAAATATCAGCTGTAGAACGCTGCAACGCAGTTTTGGAAACATAATTTCTTTCGTCGATTCCATTTGAGATTCCTATATTTATCGAATTATGTACATATCTCTCTCCTGTATATGGCGTCGTATATAATTCTTCATTGACTGTACTGTACATTTCTGCCTTATTAGAATAATTATTTTGTCTTTGTGTCATTCGCGGGAGACCATTGACGTTGTGGTTATCTGTATGGTATCTAGATACTAATTTAGATTCTTGTTGCATATTACACGTCGGTGCAGAGAGGCTATGCAAAATATTTCTGGGCGCTGGACTATTTCCTCCATTGCTGTTTGAATCATCTTCAGAAAGAGTCAGACCCGAATCCCTACTGAGTGATAGTTTTTCTTTTCGTGGTGTAGTTAGCTCCATAGAATCCAAGGATATTCCTACAGAATGCAAGCTGTCACTTTCTTCAGCACCAGAGTCGAGCAACGCATTCGAGAGCTCAGGACTTCCATTTCCCAAGAGACTGGATATTTGAGGTCCGAATAAGTCATCAGCTTTAACTATAAGTAGTTCTACAACCATTGGCACGGCTTTGGGAGCTCTGTCACAGGGAGTGTTAGGCCACAAGAGGCTGGGGCCTACACAAACACCGAGATTCATGGGGCACATGAGGTTAATATTAGATTTTTTGGCGATGGCTTGAAGCAAACAAATGAAGTATGTCAGCATAGTATAGTGTGCTTTTGGTAGCTTCAGCAACAAGGAGCGCACGGCTGTTACTTTTTCAACTTGAGATAAACCTGCAACAAAATAGGTAGGTATATTGAAAATTATTAAAAAAATAATTATGACTGTTGTCTATTATGATTTAAAAGAATATCAAACGAGAACTATTTTATTAAATAATATTTTTAAATACAAGAGTAGAAAAATTATGGATTACTATACTTACTGAGGACTTGCAACCATGATGAGTATAGCTCTGCAACTAATAATGGTTGTGGAAGCGCCCGGAAAAACTCTTTTACAAGAGCGGCCAATAACAAGACGGGCGCGCGGTCCAGCTCAGCGCAGCCTTCTGCCCAAGGACCCAGAGCATCCAGCTAAGAAGGGACAAATATTTTAGATTTAATGATGTCAAGTATATAAAAAGCAGCAGAAAAATTTGGGTCTAGGCCAATGTACAGAACGATGTAACCTTTAAATAGTCTGTACTCAGAACGGATAATATACATTAAGTATCTACAAATGATATTACGTACTAATATTTTAAAAAGAATAGAATGTTAAGTCCTCCTTTTGTACCAAACATTTTTTAATGTGGTCAATAAAAATTAAATTAATTAATAAATGTCCAATATATTTTCGTTGAAATATAAATTCTAAATTTTTTATTATCTCAAAACAAATTTGTGTATAAAATTATTATAAAAATATACCTTATCTCTCAGCAATCTTAATGCTTTGGCATTAGCACTTCGCCGGAAGACGCCATGTGTTAGAGGTGCTATAGACCTCAAACGACGTAGCGCTTGCAGTAACGCAGGTGGGGGTGTCCCATTGCAGAGTCGCGTGAGAGCGACGCCGAACAGTCGTCCGCCGCGTCGAAGTAATCGCAATCCTCGAGCGGGGGTAGTGTTTCCACTAAAAATAACAATTTAAATTATAACTATATATTGTCTATTAATATGTACGTAATTGACATTAAAATTGAAAACTTTTACTTACTTTTTTAAACTTTGATTTTTCTTTCTTAGTTCAAACACAAGTCCACAGGGATTGTTTTTAGCGTTAACATGCTCCAAATCAAAACCATCCTCATTTGATAAAGTTTGCCGTATCCTTGACATCTGTAGGTAATATAAAAATGTTAGATTCTAGTGTTAACTAAACAGGCATAATATATCAAATATCTTTCAAATTCAAATTCAAATTCAAAAATCATTTATTCATGTAGGACATTTTAGCCGCTTATGAACGTCAAATTTTTACATTATAATTTTATATTTACCCTACCGTCCAGTTCGGTATATAGATCCAATTGAGAAGAACTGGCAAGAAACTCAATTGAATTACTTTTTTTTTTAAAGCCAGTTTATTTACAATGTATATTTATATAGGTGTCTATGTCTAACATTAAATGAAAATTCAGTGCATGAACAACTATTGCCATGCACACTCGTCATTCAAGTAATCGTTTAGTGAGTAATAGGCTTTGCTCAGTAAATATGATTTAACAGATGTTTTGAATTTATTTAAGGGTAATTCCAACATATCCTTTGGTATCTTATTGTAAATTTTTATACCTATTCCCATAAAAGACCTATTAACTTTTTCTAAACGATACTTGGGGACAGCAAGTTTGTCTTTAAATCTAGTATTAATATTATGAATATTGCTGTTTTTTGGAAATAAGTCAAGATTTTTATGAACATATAGAATATTTGAATATATAAATTGAGAAGCAACGGTGAGAATATTTGCCTCTTTGAATTTCTCTCTTAATGAGTCACAACTCTTCATACAGTAGATCGCTCGAACGGCACGTTTTTGTAATATGAATATATTCTTAATATCTGCCGCTTTTCCCCATAGTAATATTCCATAAGAGAGTAAACTATGAAAATAACTAAAATAGACTAATCTAGCAGTATCAGTATCAGTGTACTGTCTAACTTTACGCACGGCAAAAGCTGCTGAACTTAGTTTCGCTGCAAGGCTTTGAATTTGTGCACCCCATTGTGTTTTATTATCTAGTGTGATTCCTAGAAAGACAGTAGATTCTATAAATTCGAGAGATTCGTCATTTAATTTAATATTGCAATTAGTATTAAAACTTTTAGATAGAGAGAAATTAACACATTTTGTTTTTTTAGCGTTTAACATAAGATTGTTAGTTGTAAACCAGTGCAGGAGACGCCGCAAAGCACTATTTACATCGTCATAATTATTAGTCATTCTATTAACTTTAAAAATCAATGAAGTATCGTCTGCAAACAATACTATGCCGCATCTATCCTGCATGGCATATGGGAGATCATTAATGTAAACTAGGAATAAAAATGGACCGAGAATAGATCCTTGAGGTACACCCATTTGCACAAGTGACCCGTCAGACGTAGCGTTGCTAATCTTCACTTTCTGTATTCTATCAGATAGATAAGATTTTATTAAATTTAAAGCATTGTCTTTGACGCCATAAAAAGCAAGTTTTTTTAGCAATGTATTATGATCAACGCAATCAAAAGCCTTAGAAAGGTCACAAAAAACACCTATCACATCCATTTTAGTTTCCCATGCAGCAAATACGTGTCTAAGCAACTCTGCACCTGCGTCTGTAGTTGAACGACCTTTGGAAAAACCGAATTGACTATTGTGGATTAAATTATTTAAATTGAAATAACTGACAAGTTGCATAAGGATTATTTTTTCAAAAATTTTACTGAGTGCTGGGAGTATGGATATAGGTCTATAATTTATTGGGTCACTCCTATCTCCAGATTTAAAAAGCGGTATGATTTTACTAATTTTCATTATGTTAGGAAATTTACCTTCATCTATACATTTATTGAAAATAAAAGCAAGAGAGGGCGCAATAATTTCCATTATACTATCCAGTATTTTAACAGATATACCCCATAGATCCTCTGTTTTTTTATTATTAAGTTGTTTGAATATTTTCATTATTTCTACTGATGATGTATGTCTAAAGTTAAATACAGCTGATGACTTGCTAACATTGTCTGTTAGTAAAGTTTCAGCAGCAGACGGGGAAGATTTTAGAGCCTGTGTCGTAATTAATGGAATATTAGTAAAATAAGATTCGAATGTATGCGCGACCTCTGTGTCGGAATTTACCAATTTGTTATTAATATTTAAAGCTATTTTGCTATTTTGAAAATTAACTTTTCCAGTTTCGCTATTTATTACTTTCCAAGTGGCTTTTATTTTATCTTTAGATTTAGTTATTATTTTACCTAAATAGAGAGACTTAGCTGTATGACAAACCTTTTTAAATATTTTCGAATAAGATTTTACATGTTCATGAAATAAGGGATCGGATATATAGCTTCGTTTTTCGTAAAGTTCGTAAAGATTAGCCCTAGACTTATAAATACCAAACGTGGCCCAGTCACAAAACTTTGATTTTACACTAGTTGAAAATGTTTTTGTTTTAAATTCACTGCTAGCTTCATGTTCAATTAAATTAAAAATATGTTCACATACAATGTCCGGGTCATATTGAGGTACTATGACACTAGATATTTTATGTTCAATTTTATTTTTAAAACGTGCCAAATTCTTTTGTGTTATTTGTCTGCATGTAATTGTTTGAGTCCCTTTGGATCCCTTAGTTTCAATTATAACTTTTTGTCCGTAATGATCAGATCCAAGACAGTCGAAATTCATTTTCACCTTTACTTCACAATTACAAAAAACATTATCTATACAAGTGGCAGAATTTCCTGCGACCCTAGTGGGTTCTAAAAAAAGATTGTGCAAATTAAATGATTTAAATAAGTTAATCAATCTTAAGCTTATTGAGCATTCCGATAATAAATCAACATTAAAATCGCCACATACAAATAATGTTTTATTCCTCCGTGCGACTCGTCTCAATGCTTCCTCCATAGCCAGTTCAAAAGAATCAAAACAAGCCGCTGGCGGACGATAAACGCAAATTATTATACAAGTAACTAATTCTACGCAAGATAGTTCAATTGTTTGCTCAATAGAAATATTTACAATGTCTTGACGGTTTTTATATTCTACATCATTTTTTAAAATAATAATTGACCCGCCATGAATGGCATTGTTCCTAGCAAAAAAACTAGCTATATTATAATGTTCAAAAGGACAAATTATTTCATATTGTTTAAGCCAATGTTCTGTCAGACATAACACCTGTACATTGTTAGATTCTAAGAAAAGACTTAATTCTAATTCTTTGCTGGAGAAGCCACGAATATTTTGATGAATAATGACCATATCCTGTGGCTTAACCAATGTCGTAGATGTTAGTTTAAATTAACACATGTCACATTATTAGTATAATTACTAATATTACTAATTAAACCCGTTATACTACTTATAATGGGATCATAAATGTTATACGCTAGTAAACTAGCAATAGTCTTTTTTTGTTTTTTAGGAAGATAAAAATTACCTCCCGTCATATAATAATTTGTAACAAATTTGTTACTTTCAAAATAAAATATATCATTACAATGATATGTCATCGAATAAATTAAATTATTTATACTATAAATGAACTTATTCTGTTCATTAGTCAGGGATTGAGAGTAGGGAAATGCGCATAATAATATTTTACCTATACCAAGCTCCACTATATTATATAATGATTTTATTAAATTAACTATATCAGATTTACGCATATGCAAACAATTCCCTAACGCTATTACTAGGGTCGTGTGAATATCATATTTTTCATTTACTATATTTTTTATAATCTTATATATACCTGATCCCGGAAAACAATTATTTATTACTTGTTGCGAGAGGCAGTTCGATAATAAACTACCTAAATCCTTGCCAAATTCATCTGAATAAACAATTGTTCTCCTGATGGTTTCATGTACAGTGCTGCATTTATTTACTTTTGTACTGTTTCGTGTGGGTAAACATGAAACGTCTGGTTCCGTGACGGATGAGATATCAATGTTCAACTTATTATGGTGGGACGGTTGGATATAGTTATCAGACTCTGGTGAATTACAGTGACATCTATCCGTAAGAGAAACAAACCGCTCCATGTTGTAGTTACCCAATTTTATTAAATTATCCAACTGATCAGAATATTCATGTATTTCATTCTCAGCTGATTCGTATTTCAAAGATAAATTGGACAACGAGTTCTCTAATAGTTTAATTTTTTGTGATAATTCATCTATTTCTAAATCTTTGTTATATATTTTTTCTTTACAATTATTTAATTCTATTGATAAGTCAATTTTTTGCTTTCTAGTAATAATTGATTTTAAACACTTTTTATGACTTTTCACTAAATTTTCTGATTTTCGAATAAATTTATTTAATTTTACATATTTTTTTAACTTCTTACTACTATTAATAGGTACTTTATTAGGACTATAGGAGCTTGGTGTATTTGTCAAATCTATGGTCACAAGGGGTAGAGCAGATGTTTGATCACTAGTAGTATTTAACATTTCTGTATACAGATCCATGGTCTCGTTATAACTACTCAACCGCCTGTGATCCAACAAAGATTTATTTTGTGATTGAACTTCCTCAAGGTGCCGCTCTAGATGAGTGATTTTCTGCAATGCTGACTCATATGTGTCTCTGCACAGATCATATTTATTTACAATTTCTTGATAATCTTTTATAATGTTAGTAGGATTCATTTTTACCTGAATAGCATGAGGTCTCTCAATGCCTTGCAACGGTGTCAGTGGCGCATCCCTTGCTGTTCGAACACAAAGCGTGAACTCGGTGGCTGGCCCCCATCGACTATCACCTTCATTCTCTCCTTCGCCGTCCCCTTCATTTTCTCCTTCTGAGCTACCGTTCTGAAGTACGTGTAGAGCTTGCCGTACAACGCATTTGGCACTCATTTCTGGTCCCACTGATACAGTTTTACACTAAAAAGAAAAAGAATATTATGTAGATACTTATTGCATAGTTTTTGTCAATGATACTTCTATATACTGTCAAATGAGTATAAAGTTTGTTATTTTAGGTAGGTTTCATTAGGAATCTCAGATAAAAATTAAATTTTTTTGGAGGAAAATTATTAAGTCAATGAAGCAACAAGTTTTGAATAAACGTCAGTAGGTAGTTGTACTGATAAAAACTCAAGGTAAGTAAAGTGATATTTTTAAATAACCTTGTATATTATGGGTGTTTTGCGCAGCTTCATCATTAGGTTTATTATCTATATATGAATATATTATATACAAGCAATTATTTTAAATGCAAGTACTTACAAATTCTATAGAACTCGTAACATCCTTGTAGAAGATTTGAATGTTTGTTGATTTTGGTTCTGTGCTGAGTTGCGTATTCAAAGCATTTTGTATTTTCCTAAAAATAAAATTGTTATGTAATTAATATATATCTTATTAATATAACAAATGCAAAGGTTTATAACGATGGATGGGTGGCTGGATGTTTGTTACCCTTTCGCACATAAACTATTGAATGGATTTCAATGTAATTTAATACATGGGTAGGTGATATACCCAACTTAGCACATGAGATATTTTATGTACCTTACTTCGCCAAGTAGCGGGATATTGCTACTATATTATAACAATAAAGTGTTAGGCAGGCACATTGTTTTGTTTTTAAATTAGGACCCTCAGAGAAAGTAGCTAAAAGTTTTTTTTATTCTTTGTTTAAATATTAAAATTCAGGTTAATTTAAATTTGTTTCGTAAATGGATCTGATAAGGAATAGATCCTGTGGTGATTTTTAATAGAAATAATATTACGTAACTTATAACATTTTTCATTAAAACACCACTATAACGATCAAATAAGATAATAGTTGTTTATCACAAAACCACTATAAGGCTATACTTGTCTGCATGTTTGCCTCTTTAGTGAGATAAAAAATAACACGTGGACTTATTTTATTATAATTGACTCACAAAAAATTAAAAGATATTTATCAACTTAAGTACATAGGTACTGGGTCAATATTTATAATAGCATAGTAGCGAATTATATGTAAGTTAACTTATGTGTTGAGTGCGTAAAGTTAAGAGAATAGTAATTCTCACCTGTACCACGTATCTCTAGCAGCTTGAGTGGGATAAGTAGCGAGGTAGTTGGCGACTCCAGTAACAGTTGGCCACCCGATAAGAAAACCGGTATCATCCCCATCGGGTAAAGACAGCCATATTTCTGCTAATCTGACGCTTTCTTTGAGTTTAAAGCAGTTGGTTCCTCTGGACTTTCCGACGAGCAGCAAATCGCTGAACAAGAATAAATTACGATCTAACGGTGGGGAGGTAGCGCCCAAAGGGCATAGTTGAACCGGAGCCTCCATGATGAAGGTCCTTGGCGATAACGAGCTACTGTTTGTGCTGACTGTACCGCCAATGTCCAAGCTCGGTCTCTTGCGGAGACTCTTCGATTTCTGGAAAGGATTAACGTAAATCTAGTAAGTTAATATCCTTAAATAAAATTATGTTAGTGATCTTATCTTTACTAATATTATAAATGTAAAGGTGAGTTTGTTTGTTACCTTATAGTGTCTTTATGGCGTAACCAATCACTATGAAAATTGAACAAATACACATGTACTACATGGAATGGAAAAAGAAACATGCTACTTTTTGTTCTGATTAATAAATAAATCACGGTCAAGCGAATGAAATCGCGGGTAAAAACTTGTATTAAAGACAAAGACAAGTATAAAAATTTACTTTAATCGTTAATGTAATACGGTACTAACATAATATAAAAAAAATCAGAGAACCTTCATATTTTTTTAAAGATTCTTCCAAACATAAATACGTACAGGATTTAGTCTTTGCGAATATAATAATATTATATTTAAGCAAGTACTCAATAATAGCTTTATAGAAATACTTATAAAAAAGATGTAATGTAAAAATTTGCAAATGTAATGTTTGCTAATGATTATGTTAACATTGCATATTCATGACACTAATGCGATAGATATTGTACAACATAATTAAAATGTGGCTTTCGTCTGGTGTCGTATTTCAAATTATCACGCGATGTTGACGTAATATAACGAACCTAACAAGTAAGCATTTTTAACTCGTCAGTTTGAGATTTGTTTCTGATAATCCCCTGTCAATATCAAAATGGTTATAATATTAATTAAAGCTAGTAAAGCTTTATCTTATTGTTATAATAAATGCGGAATTTGTAATGATGGATGATTGGGTGTCTGTTACTCTTTCAGGCAAAAAGTTACTGAACAGATTTGAATTTAGCACATGTGTTGGTTATATTTTAACTTAGTACCTCTAGGTATATATTATTTATATACTGATTCATACGGGTGAAGCTGCGAAATACAGCTGATTTTTAAATTAATAAGTAAATAATTAAAGAATAAATAAAGTAAGAATTTATACTAAAGAGAGTAACGTATATATAAGAAAATCACTATTGAGAATACCTTTCTTTTTGAGGTCGTTTAAAATTCACTAAAGATTGATTATGTGATTAGGGTAGTTATGATAGACATAGAAATTAAAATGTAAGTGAACCGACCTGCGCATGGTGTGAGGCGAGTGCAGCAGGCGCGTCAGCATCATGAAGTGCGAGGTAGTCATGCGGAAATAGATCCTGTACGCGTTCCAAATCCGAGAGCTTGGCAGCGCGACGCCGTGCGCATCCGCCACCAACCAATCGCTCGTATTGTGCTAGCCGCTCGATCTGTTGACAAATTAATAATTTATTAGCTAAACTCGTTATCGCGTAAAAATATTAAAAAAAATATTGTAAAATATTAAATTAATAGAATATAATGAATTTAATTAATATTCTTTCTTTCTTTCTTTATTGTACACAAAAGATTATTGAAATGTAAAAACAAACATAATAGTGCACAAAAACGAGCTTATCTCTAATAGAGATTTCTTCCAGCAAATCCAATATGAGAAAACTGACAGTTCATTAGTAGTTACAGTCATATGTAAAACAAACGTATAAATGACTCGACCCTAAAATTTTTTACTTATGTCCAATAGTAGTACAAATAAAGAATCGAATAGTTGGTTAAATGATTCCACTTGTAGCTAATTTCATTTACAGAATGTTTCTGTGATAATTTCAATAAAATTCGGTTAACATTTCATGAAGTTATATTAAAATAGACTATACTTTCTCCTATTATCAGCAGTGAATGCTGTGCGTTATAGACTTGTCAGCCAGGAATGGAACTTTATCCAGTCATATTATATCATATATTTATGATAACCCAAAGTGAGAGAATTAATTAATTCTCCTCTGGCACCAGTCTATAATCGAATAGGAAACCGCTACTAGACGACACCTGAACGGACTGTGTGTTTGTTAGCCGATTTTTGCAAGGAGTGGTTACTCTGTCCGCCTCGAGGGTGCTGTAGGAAGTACTATAAATAAAATTAATCTATAATGAAACTGAACAAGTTTCCTCAAGGAACACAGTCAAAACTTGAGAATATTTTTTTTTTAATTTTACTTATTAAAGATAAGGTTGAGGTTTTACCTTACATTATTCCTAATATCTCAAAACGATCAATGTACATTAATCCTATATATAAGTAGTAATCGATTAATAAAATAAATCGATTAATAAAATAAACAATTTATTACTATAACATATTATTAAAGACAAGAAGGAACAATGGCCCATGTTTATTGTATGTGGTTCAACAAACACCTATAATGGAATCTAACGATTCTAATCTAAATTCTTGTTGCATATGCATTGGAGTGTTGAGGGTGACTTCCCGGGTGCCTCACGACGACTCTCTCAAGCGTGTCAACAACAATGATACCTTATTACTACAGGACAAAGGACCGTGTGAATTTTTTTTCTTTTGTATGATGTCCATACTTATAATTATTGACATATTACCCTTTACCCGTGACTTCATCCGCGTAGAATTAGAAGATAATTTGTAAAGCTGAATTATGAGTTTAATTGACCACATTATTAATTTCATTATGTAGGAATAGGTTTTATTGATGTTATAACATGAAATGAGACTTATGAAATGTATTCGAATATCATAACAATAATAAGAAAATACTTGTAATTACATAAACATAGATAAACTACTAAATTTCATAAAAATGCGTCTAGCTGTTTAATCCTGAATTTCAGACACACGAAACTATTTTTAAACATAGTTATAATATTAATATAAAAACGTATACCTTAAGTTTTAATACTTCAAGTAAGAACAAATAAATTGAGGAGCAGCATAATAATGTATTTACATGCGTGTATTATGCAAGTAACGCAGGTATAATGAATAACGACCGAGGAGTCACGTACGCACGATCGCAACAGCGAATATGCAGAACGCATGCGAATGGTACTCACGATCATCTGCATAAACTGGGATGCGAATGATACTCGTAATCGATAACTTCCATAAATATAATTATAAAAAATTATACTATTCAGTAAAGATTCATACGTCACTACGAACTCAATTCACTTAAATTTTCACTTTGGTAATGTAAGCATATTGAAATGGGTTTTGGAAACTAAGTTTCCTAATAAGTTAGTGTTCTCAATAACTCTCTTTTTTGTTTACAGAATATCTATTGTAAATTACTCGCGGATATGGTAGTAAAATTCGAGTCTGATTTTCAGAATAGCACTACTCTACTAGGAAAGGGTTACTTCCATCAACAGGTTCCATTTTACTACGACCGTGTGCGGTGAAACGTAACATTATGTGTTTGATTCACGAAAGGTATCAAACCTTGTTCGTTCGTGCCACCCGACTGCACTGTATTCTCAGAAGTCATATTTACAATGATCATCTTTATCGAGTTTATTGTGTTTAAATTACATGATCTTGTATGCAGACATGATGTATTAGTACTTGTATCCCGCGTGTAAGTATGTAAAGTGTCCTATATGTTAAATTAGGATATACCCCTGTACCAAATTTCATTCAAATTCGTTCAGTAGTTTTTGCATGCAAGAGTAACAAATATCCATCCCTATAATATTTCGCATTTATAATATTGATACGATTTCATAGTTTCTTGCAATATACTATAAAATTTTCTTAATCGGTACTACAGACAAAGTTGGAAATTATAATACAGACGAAAGGTTACATATACCTAACTACACATATTTACCTATAAAAGTTATGTATATCCATTTATTAATATTTTTATTATAATTACTGTTATTCTTTTAGAATATGTAAAATTCAAATTTTTAAAAATAGCAGAAATGTTTTTATTGAGTCTAATTGTAAAAAAGCTATAAAGATTTTATATAAAGAAATAAGTAAAATTCCTTCTATGCATGGCACCTAAGCATCATATTGTTTACTCCTCAATCAACACCTGCATATGGTTTATTTCTGAACATATAGGTAAGTACCAAGAAATCGGAGCATTACAAATAAGCACGTAAAGGTTATCTATGAACGTGTTACACGGAACTGCACTTTCTAACTCAAATGTTTATTTTGGAGTAAGTGGGTACGGCGTAAGTTTTTAGATAACGAGTGAACTGTCCTAAAACTTAGATAAGGTGAAGCGCGTGCGCCGCCGTCCGCGCTTTATGGCGTTTTTTCACAAAATTATCTAAGTATGTGTTTCTTTATTTCATTTTATTTGTTGAGTATGCGTTTTAAAACTTTATAAAAATGCTATTCTTTGGAGAACATTCAAGTTGTTTCGTTCAAATTTTTACTATTGGATTTAGTTGACAGCCACGGCCTAGAATCAGTTCTGTAAACATATACAGACACAAACAATTAATTAAACTTTATCATCTGTATTTTTACTTATTACCTATGATAATGTACGCATAGACAAACAAAATACTTTTTAAAATCTTAATCATCATACTACTGATCACCACAAACATTACAACTGATAAATCACAACAAAAAACAAGATAAATCTTAAATTAATCTACATTTATGGAAAAATTTAAAATAAACATTATAAGATACTATTAAATTAAGAAAGGATATACATATACTATTTTATGATTACAAAGATATTACGTTCGAATACAATTTCATTAGAATTGCACAACAAAAGTTTGACAGTGTAGCGACGGGCGTAACTGGGTACCAAGTTAGCTAGGCACGGTTCAATTATGCAATCGTATTGTCATCGTAATTCAATGAAAATTTGATTGATTATTTATACTTCATGTGAAGCAGTACGCTGTCGAAATAAAGTACATACTTAAAATGTATTGAATAAAGTTAATAACGTAATTAGATATTTACATTATACGTTTTTTCGTTTCAATAACTTCTCTGGTGAGTATTGATTGCGTCTAATTAGAAAATGTGTTAAGATTTTATCATAAAATTACTTTTTAATAAATGGATCATTGTAAATAATTTGACTCATTATAAAGACATTTCATTGTATCAAAATGACGCGAAAGACTAATGAAGATAAAAATACAACATTCGACGTATCGTACATTAAAGGGACATTAGTGGCAAAAATGCAGTCGCAATTACCAAATGAGGCCATTTCTCTTCCAATAAACTTCTTGAAGCGCCATAATCATTTAAATAAATGCTTGACATTGGTTTAAAGGTGAGTTTAGTGTCTGGGAGGATATTAACGGTACGTAATGCGGTATTCAGTACACTTACATGGTTGAGGAATGCAATCATGGCGTGATTCATCACAGGCTTGGAGAATGTCTGCGAGATCGGGACGAGGATATCAGACTACAGAAAATCATGTATACAAACTCCATTGTAACTCCATGGAGAAATGAATACAGTAATCAAATTATAAATGAATATGGCATTGATAGTCAAACAGCATCCTTATACTAGAAGTTTCTTTTCCAAATATAATTGTATTGTTAAAAATATAATTGTATTGTTAGAAGTTGCATCTAAAATTTTATATTATTTAACAATTTCTAAATGATATTATCATCTTGAAATCTGAGGGAATCTCAAAAGATTATTAGTGATTAATTGATCACAAAATGAACTACAAACTGGGCGATCTATAGTAATATAAATGTAATCTAAAACATTGATGAAATAGTGAAAATTTCTAAAGTTAATGACAATGAAATCTAACTTATCGTAGTGAATTTTATATGTAAATAGATGCAAATTATGTCTTTGATTATATTAAAGTATGAAACGGATATAAAAATTGCAATTGTTATGATATCGTAGTGACATCTCGAAGAGAGGTCGAGGCGCAGCGGGTTACCGGCGACCATAGCGACACACATACCTTTTACCATTGTTGTAACGCGATACTCTGTCGACTCATCCTTGGTGAAAACAAATTGATATGAGATAAACATTTCACTTTTAGAATAAGTACCGTTTAGTAAAAGTGATTCTCCATATTTAAAAGACTAAGAATAAAATTCCATAGTAAACGTTCGAATCAACATCGAAGTTCCATTATTCTGATTTCAGTATGTAGTAAACTGTTAAAAAAGTAATACAATTAATTAAGTATTATCACAACCTTTTTTTTTTAATAAAAGAGTATTAAATTTAATAGAGGAATTGTAATAAATTCAAATCAGAATTAACAAATTCACAATAACATAATATTAGTTTAGACTAAAACATGACTGATTGCATTGTTCCTTTTTAGGGCCAAGAGCAAATTGAACAGCCCTTTTACAATGCAGACTATTATTTGGCAATATCTGTTCTACTTTGTTTGTGTGAAATTAGCACAAG